TTTATGGGAAAAACTGTCAGGCTTAGAGATCTGAAGAAGGTATTGCTGGAATTAGGGTAAAATGGGGGCACAGAAGAGTCCATGGCAAACCAGAGGGATTTCAGAGTGATGACATCACACCAGTGTCATACTTGTGTCACACTGTTGCGTCATTTGCTTCCCCCTGTGAATGCCAAGGTAGGGATGGCCAATTTGGTTTTGGCCTGGGGGCTGCAGTTTTCTTTTTTTTTTAAATACTTCTTGGTCGCTGAGAACCACCAAGAGACGCCAGATGTTGCAAATTCTCATCTCATTTGGGGGTGAAGGGGGTCATTTTGATGTCTACTTTGTGGGGGGGGGGAAGGTTAAACATTAAGTCACTGAATATAGACCATGTCGCTGCTGAAATTATGAGGGTGTGATCTTGGGGTGCTCAGAGAAGCAGAGATTGATGGGCAAAGGTTCTCTTTGGACGTAGCAAAACAGGTGTAAGAAGAAGCCCATAAACAGGACATGAAGGAGCAACAGCTTCTTCCAGCTCCTGTTATCCAACAACTTCTGGTATTAAGAAATCACTATCTTCAGCCCAAGATTGGATGGTTGGATGCCCACATATGCTAAGTCATAATTTATCTTGTTTGACTTCTTTTGGTATGTTGTATGATCCCAAACAATGTGCTATCGTTTATAGTTTGGTGTGTCGTGCTGTGTTCCCCAACCGTTTGTTCTTTATTCAACCAACCATGGTTAAAACAAACGAACTTGATGCCTTCCAGATGTAATGGGACCATAGCAGGGTTTTGGCTGGGGAATTCTGGGAGTTGAAGACCACACATCCTAAAGTTGCTGAGGTTGGGAAATGCTGGATTATATTGTTGAACACGAAGAGGCGCTAGATGGACCTTTGGTCACCTTGGAATCGTCTGTTGCCGCTCTCAGCTTCTTCTGCCTTTACTAACACAATTGCAGGACTGCTAAACAAACTCCAAGGAGGGTGATGTAGACAGAGCAGGTTGAATATCTCCAAGTCAGCAGAATGGTCAAATTACTTTTTTTATAGCATTTTTAATCCCAAAGCTATCTCAAGAAGATGCTGGGTTTATTTACTGTTTTTTATGCTGTCTCTATTGCACTGATTTAAACTTGTAAATACAAAATCAATATGGCATGGTATTATCTGCCATTAAAGAACATAAAGCCAGTAATCTTCCATGATGATTATAGATCTGAGATGCTTAAAAGAAAATTATGAATAAGAAAGTGGAACCACAGTAGATGTACTCTAATGTATGGAGCCTGGGTTTCTTTTCTGAAGAAAGAATTGTAATTGATCTTCGCATATTGAAAACAAAATTTTCAGTCATTATCAATAACTCTTTGGCAATGCGTATGAAAACTTACCTATGAATATGGACAGGCCTGGTGGGTCTTAAATTTGAAGATATGTCACTTGAGGTACATTGGGGTTGATGGAAACCTATAGTCCAATCTATACTGTGTGGACAGAGAACAAAACTGCTGAACCAGGAATTATATTTGTATCTTCAAAATTCTTAAAGAGTTTCAATAAAGTGTTTCAGGAGGAAATCTGGACATACTCTGGTGACGGTGCCATTTTGCAACTCCTGGTCTGAATTAGTGTATAACAACATGGAGGTCAAGTCTTATAGTAAGACATCATTTGTCTAGAGAGCCAGTTTGGTGTAGTGGTTAAGACACCAGGCTAGAATCCAAGAGGTCGTGAGTTCTAGTCCTGCCTTAGGCACAAAGCCAGCTGGGTGACCCTGGGCCAGTCACTTTCTCTCGCCCCTAGGAAGGAGGGAATGGGAAACCACTTCTGAAAAATCTTGCCAAGAAAACTGCAGGGACTTGTCCAGGCAGTCTCCGAGAATTGAACACGATTGAACGGAATAAAAAAATATATATTAAAAAAATTATTCCAGGAAGCCTCTGCTTGATTCTCTCCCCCACCCCAAAAACACCAGTAACCCACAATTGCTTCTGGTCTGCACAGAGGAGACCAATGGTGGTTTCTGTGAATGAAGAGTAAAGGTTGGGGGAGAGAGTGACCATGTGAAGGAGCCTTAGCAGACTATGGCAAAATCAGTTCTTGGCTTGAAAAAGCCTCATAGAGAGCATTTCCTTCTGGGATTTCATCTCCTTTGGGAACGGATGGAAACCTTTGAAGCCAGGGAAGCTGCAAGCAGCTGGAGAAATGACGGTCCAATGAAAGACGGGACATTCATGCAGACCCTTTTTGACTTGTTGCTACTTAATCAATGCAACGAGACCAGACTCAACCTGTGAGGTTTCCACTGTAATTCTCTCTTCCTTTGGAAGAACTTTCAGTAGCAAATTCTTGATGTGATTTCATCAAATCAAGTGAGCAGTGTTGGAGAAAAACTGGGAAATCTCTCTCCCTGGCCACTGCTGTTTATCTTTCTGTATGGGGCTTCATCAAGCACTCCTTCTTTCTTGAGTCAGCTTATTTAGGCTTTGTAAGGAGTGGGATCTGTAAGCTACCATTCTCCTTATGGAAGGAACACTGGCAAAAAATGGGAGAAATCAATGGAGACATTGCGCTGACTTGGGTGGTTGATCTGCTCTAGAAATATTCATTGCAGCTAGTTCTGTGGTTGGAGAAGAGGGTGATGCGTGTGGGTGCTATTTTCTGAGCCCCAAATCTATGGGAAGGACTTTGGGGTGAGTATTTTCCAGCGAGGATTGTGCAGTTCTGAAACTGGGATCGGGCACCAAAGCAAGCTGGACAGTGCCATCGCCCCCAATAGAAGCCACCAACCTTGCTGGTGACCGCAGGACATTATTGCTCACCCCTGCTACTTTGAACTCTGGGAATGGCTTTAAAAGCCAGTAAAAAGAGCAAAGTCCTTGTTTGTGAACAGAGTAATAAAAGAATGGATTCCTGGGGGGATTTGTCTGACAACTGGTTCAATGCCTGGTTGAAGGTCACAACTGAAACTAGTGGAGACCAGCAGAAAGCAGCACTTGGCAAGTTTTCATCTGATAGACAATACAACATGTGCGAGTTGCAAAATTTGGCAAGGCCGTCCCTCTGGGGTTTCGATTTCAAACCCAGTAAATATTTCAAACCCTAAATGTTTATAAACAGTGGCTGAACCAATGAGTGTAGTGCTTAAGAAAATCAAATATGGACCTTGCAGAGGCTCAGATTCCTACTTTCAGACATGACACTTGCCCATGGATGACTTTGGTCCTGCCGTTAACACCTTGGAAGATTGCTAGCAGGATAACAGCGGATTTTCTTTGGACAAAAAGTGGGATATAAATATAGGGTTGGGCCTTGGGCTTGTGGAGAGAAGACTCCTCCCAAAGGGATTTAGGCTATGATGGTGATGCTACCCCATTGATTTCAGTGGGTTAGCGCTATTGTGCTTAAATCTGGATCCACTGCGTGAGATATTGTGACCTGCAGTTTTATGGTAGGTCTTTTCATATTATGGTATGAAGGATTACCTTCTGAAGGGCAGAACTTAAATTTCCCAAGGATATATATAAGCCAAACCTTGAAGCCTGCAGCCCAAGTGATAAAATAATACATTCTGATGGATCATTTCTGTTCCCTTTAAAATGGCTCATTGTGAGGATTTCATTGCCTTGCATTAAAAGCACACTTGTTAATTGCATCACCTTGGACTAGAATGGTTTGGTTGTCCTTAACATGAATTCAGCGGCGGAGAAATAAAGTATGAAGGCAAGGGGGGAAGAGGGGTGGTGGAGAAAGAAGGGGATGAAACAATCTTGTGTGACTATAAATGTAACCTTAAGTCTGTTCAGCTAGGTTTCATTTCCTTGTTGCTACTACTAAGAATTGTAGCCTGAGAATGTGCTTTCTGTTTGCATTCTCATCTGGCAGAAATTGTGATGTTTTAGAAGCTGTCTTGTTGGGTTTTGAACAGCTGTGCAGGTGTATTAGTCTGGATCTCCCAGATTCTTACCAGTGTCCTGGGAGTTGTAGTCCAATGCATCTAGGATGCCCCAGATTAGGAAGGCTAGATAAGAGAGGGGTATTAGAGAGACCTAAGTTTAGATTCCAGTTCAGCCACCATCAAGATTCCTGGGTCATCTTAGATGGGTGATCCTCAGCCTAATTCTACCTTGTGAGAACATGATGATGATGGAAAGTGGCAGAGAGTGGACTCATCTAAAACGTGGGAGGATTGGACGTCCGTTATTTCCTTGTGACACGAAAGTTGTAAAGCTCAAGAGCTACGTTTAAGGCACATTGTTAGTGCCTGCTGCTTCCAAATTTAAGCTGGTCTTAGCTTTGGCAATGCCTTGATTCAGGAACCTGTAATGGTTTGTGGGAATGGCCTTGGGAGAGAGGTGGAAGAGCCGCCGACTAGACAGGCAAACAGCAACTGAGTCCGTAGAAGGAAGCAAATGTCTCAGAAGGGACCCTCCCTAGTTTCTTGGACTGTAAAGGCGAGGAGGGAGAGATGTACTTTCAGACTTGCAAGATTGATGTCATCCTTGCGAGGTAGTCCAGACAAGAAGCACACACAGAAGTACTAGCTGTAACTTTTGTAAGGTTACATTAACAGAATCTTGCAAGTCTGACAGTAATCTCTCCCCCCTCACCATTACAGTCCAAGAAACTAGGGAGTTCCCTTCTGAGATGTTTGCCGCACCCCCATTCCTTCGGCAGGCTCAGCTGCCGCTTATCTGACCGTTGCCTAGTCTGCGGCTCTTCCTCCTGTCTCCCGAGGTCATTCCCACATCCCATTCTCACCACCGTTACTGCAAACTGCTCTAATCTTCCGGGGCAGAAATGGGAAGCAAAGAGGGAAAACCTTTTTTTATATATTAAGGGAATGAATTCTTGTCTGCCTCCAAGTTGTTTAAACGTGGCTTGTTTCGCCATCAAGCGGGCCTGGGTTTCTGATGATCGAGATGTGGGGCAAGATTGGAGGGTTGTCCCAGTTTGTTGCTCATGCCCTGAAACGCTGGTATTCCCCTTCTCTAGAGCCTCCTTCTCCACCATGGCTGGTTCTGTCTGTCCTGACTTAAATTTATTCACGAGATGCCAGAGCTCAGGTGGCACTCGCTATGTCCCTGTAGCAGGTAGATAGGAGAAATGCTGTTGGCACCTTCTGTCAAGGAGGTCCTCCTACTTGGCAAACCTGGCAGATATTACTGGCTCCGCATGCTTGCAGATGTAAAATCCAAAATTTTATGAAGATGAGAGGGGATTTTAAGTCAACGGTAATTTGAAACGGAGTAAAAAAGGATAATAAAAGTGAAGGGCTGCCTCTTCTTCAGCGCAGTCACCAATATTTTAGGGCATTTGTGTGGACTGGGCTGTGAAAGTGGGTTTGCAGGACTAAAATACTTTATATCGCAGGGCGAAAGACTCTACAGAGCTGCGTTTCGGGCAGTTTTGGGCCTTTTTCAGGGCAGCGACAGAATTAGCATCCTTCAGCTCAGAAAGCATTTTGCTAGATGATTTGGGTGTAAAAGTTGGGAGTGTGTCCACAGATGAGAGGCAGATGGAAAGATCAGGCCATAGGTGCTGCCTTGAGGCTGGCAGATTTTATTTCCCGTCTATTAAAGATGAGAAAAGGAGGACTGAGATGATCCTTTGTCCGGCAGTTGGAAAGCCACAGAGCCCTGCCAAAAACACTGGGTCAGCTTGGGGGACATGGGAGAGCCCATTCAGTTCCAAAAGTTTCCCCTTCTCCCCAGCCTGTAGGTTAGCAACATACCACCCTGCTAGTTTTGGTTTCTTCGTTCTGGTCCCCAGGATACGCCGACGACTCGGACTTGGATTTGGCCGACGCGCTGGATGACTTCGTTCCGACCAAGAGGCGTGAGTACGCTGCGGTTGCTCCCTCCGTGGATGCCACGGGCAGTGGGGTCGTGGCTGTGGATGAGCTCTCGGAAGGGCTCGTGGCCAGGCGGGCTTCCTGCGATTACAGCTGAAGAAACAATCAAGGAAAATGCCAAACGGAAAATAAAGTGTTTCGTTAAAAAATATTACAAAGGCAAACTATAAAGCAGAGAGTCGTCCATAAGGAATGGAATCTAACTGTGCGGCTTGATAATATGTTATCAGATTGGGCTTGCCCCAGGCTCCCTGCTTCTGAGGTCTATATAAAATCCTTTAATTTATTCTCAGGGGGTTTTTTTGCACAAAAGCAGAACCAACCTTCCTTCCTTCCTTCCTTC